TTCTCCTTCACTTATGAAGCTTAGTTTGACTAGATATGAATTTCTAGGTTGAAAGTTCTTTTCTTTATGGATGTTGAATATTGGCCCCCACTCTCTTCTGGCTTGTAGGGTTTCTGTTGAGAGATCCGCTACGAATCTGATGGGCTTCCCTTTGTGGGTAACCTGACCTTTCTCTCTGGCTGCCCTTAGTATTTTTTCCTTCATTTCAAGAACCCTGGTGAATCTTACAATTATGTGCCTTGGGGTTGCTCTTCTTCAGGAATATCTTTGTGGTGGTCTCTGTATTTCCTGGACTTGCATATTGGCCTGCCTTGCTAAGTTGGGGAAGTTCTCCTGGATAATATCCTGAAGAGTGTTTTCCAGCTTGGATTCATTCTCTGTCACATTCAGGTACGCCTATCCAACGTACATTAGGTCTTTTCACATAATTCCATATTTCTTGGAGGCTTTGTTCATTTCTTTTTACTCTTTTTTCTCTAATCATATCTTCTCATTTTATTTCATTAAGTTGATCTTCAATCTCTGATATCTCTTCTGCTTGGTAGATTCGGCTGTTGAAAGTTGTGTATGCTTCGTGAAGTTCTTTTGTTGGTTTTTCAGCTCCATCAGTTCATGTATATTCCTCTCTAAGCTGTTTATTCTCGTTAGCATTTCGTCAAACCTTTTTTCAAGGTTCTTAGTTTTTTTGCATTGGGTTAGAACATGTTCTTTTAGCTCTGAGAAGTTTGTTATTACCCACTTTCTGAAGTCTGTTTTTGTCAGTTCATCAGACTCATTCTCCATCCAGCCTTTTTCCCTTGCTGGTGAGGAGTTGTGATCCCTTGGAGGAGGGGAGGCATTCTGGTTTTGGATGTTTTTATCCTTTTTGCTCTGGTTTCTTCCCATCTTTGTGGATTTATCTACCTGTGGTCTTTTAGTTGGTGACTTTCAAATGGGGTCTCTGAGTGGACGTCCTTTTTGTTGATGATGAAGTTATTTCTTTCTGTTTTTTAGTTTTCCTTCTAACAGTCAGGCCCCTTTGCTGTAGGACTGCTGGAGGTCCACTCCAGACCCTGCTTGCCTGGGGATCACCTGTGATGGCTGCAGAACAGTAAGGGTTTCTGCCAGTTTCTTCTTCTGTTACCTTTGTCCCAGAAGGATACCCACCAGATGTCAGCCTGAGCTCTCCTTTATGAAGTGTCTCTTTGGATATACGGGGGTCAGGGAGCTGCTTGAAGGGACTGTCTGTCCCTTATAAGAGCTCAGGTGCTGAGCTGCAAGCTCCGTTGTTCCATTCAGAGCTGCTGGGCAGGTACGTTGAAGTCCGCTGCAGTGGAACTCATAACCACCTTTTTTTTTCCCAGGTGCTCTGTCCTGGGAAGATGGGGCTTTATTTATAAGTTCCTGATGTACTTCTGCCTTTTTTCAGAGATGCCCTGCCCAGCAAGGAGGTAACCTAGTCACAGCCTGCCATCAGAGGTGTTACTGGGCTCTGCCCAGCTGCTCTGTGAACTTCCTTGCAGTTTTTGTTTATAGAGGTATAGTTACAACTGTCTCTATTGGCAGACTGCCTTGGTAATGGCGGACGCCCTTCCCCCGACAGAGCTGGACCATCCTGGGTCCAGCTGTGCTTGCTGTGAAACTTCAGTCCAGAGCATTTCAGATTCCTGGTCTTTGTTGGTCTGGGACCAGCCAAGCCAGATCACCTGGCTCCGTTTCAGCCCCCTTTTTTTCAGTTGAATGGGCGACTCTTTCTCCCAGGTGTTCCAGGTGCCAGTTGCAATGGCTCCCAGATTTCTGTTTTTGTGCGGATACCCACTGCACTGCCTGAAACAGCGGTGCTGGAGACCCGTGGTGCTTTTCTGCCTGGGAATCTCCTGGTCTGTGGGCAATAAAAATTCGTTTGCGGTGATCACTCAACCTCTGTGTTTTCACTGGGAACTGCAACCAGAGCTGTTCCTATTCGGCCATCTTGGATCATCTCAATAATAACTCTTTCAACCAGTTGCCAATCAGAAAAATCTTTTTTTTTTTAATTTATTTTTTTTATTTTCATAGGCTGTGTTGATCCAAGAAAAATCTTAAATCTGCCTGTAACCTGGAAGCACCCACTTCAAGTTGTTATAGACTTTGACTCTTTTTGTCAACAGTGTGGGTTTGAGTTCCTATGTAGTAGTATCCTTTTGTTTTAGCATAAAAGGTTCCCTTTAGTATTTTTTATTGGACAGATGTACTAATGACAGATTTTCTCAATTATTCATTGTTATTATTTATGTCAGTTTGTTTTTCAGAGAAGCTGTGAGAAGGAGCGCATGTATATATATTTATATCATTTGCTATATTATCTTATTTACCATTTTTAGTTCTCTTCATTTGTTCCTATGAATTCAAGTTACCATCCTGTATTACTTTGTTAAATACAGCTTTGCCGTCACCTACTTCCTATTATGCTGTTACTGGTAAACCTTACATTTCTGTATATGATAGGCCAAACCGTACAATTCCACATTGAGTATCCCTAATCTGAAAATCCAAAGTTCAAAATGTTCCAGAAGCCAAAACTTTTTGAGCACTGTCATGACTGAAAAGGATTTGCTCATTGGAGCATTTTGGATTTTCAGACTAGGGATGCATATATTCCAAAATTCAGGGAAAAAAAATCTGAAATTCGAAACAGTTCTGGTCCCAAGCATTTCTCATAAAGAATACTCAACCTGTATATACATACTGTTTTATACAGTTGCTTTTTGTTTTTAAGATAGAGCCTCACACTCTTTCCCAGGCTGGAGTGCAGTGGCACCATCATAGCTCACTGCATTCTCAAACTCCTGGGCTCAAGGGATCCTTCCGCCTCAGCCTCTCAAGTGTCTGGGACTACAAGCTTGCACCACCACGCTTGGCTAATTTTTTTTTATTTTTTTTAGGGATAGGGTCTCACCGTCTGCCCAGGCTTGTCTTAAACTCCTGGGCTCAAGGAATCTTTCCGCCTTGGCCTCCCAAAGTGCTGGGATTACAGGAGTGAGCCACCATGCCCGGCCTTGGCTAATTTATTATTACTAATTTTTAAGGATGGGGTCTCACTGTGTGCCCAGGCTCATCTTAAACTCCTGGGCCCAAGCATTCCTTTCACCTTGGCCTCCCAGAGTGCTGGGATTACAGGCATGAGCCACTGCACCCAGCCTACAATTGCTGTTTAAGTCAAGAGGAAAAAGAAGAAATACATGTTTATATTGTCTTTTGTAATTATATAATTATCTTTACTAGTACTCTATTTTTTTCTTGTAGATTTCAATAATCTTTAGTGTGGCAATTCTGAAAATCAGATTTTCCCATACAGCCTCAGGGTTTATTGGCCATGATTACTGTTAAGTTACTTTCCAGAACTAATTCTTTAGCTTATTATCCTTTGTTGTATGAAGCCACTGCTCAGTTAGCTAGCAGCTTTGATATCTCTTAAACCAGTAAGTCTTCCACCCTTTGCCGAAGGATTCTGCACACCTTCAGCACTCTGCATTGTTGACACCTCTGCCTTAGCCTTCACTTCATTTTAGCACAGAGCCTCAGGACAAGATAATAGGGCCTTCTCAGGTCTTTTTCTGTGCGTGCTTGTAGCCCTATGCACTTGTATGGCCTTCCCAATCCCCAGGAATGTGTCAGAGCTCTTTATAGCCCCCTGTGGACATCTTATTCCCCAGAGTTCATTTTAAGTTTTTGGCCTGCATTTAGTGTGCCCCAACTGGGATGGCTGCTTGAGGCAGCAGCTAATGCTAAATAATTGCTGTTGATTGTTTCCAACAAATGCCTTGGGGATAGAGCTTTTCTCACTGAGTGAGCTCTGAGATCAATGGAAGACAATGAATAGGGCTTTTTTAGGAGCTACCAGGCAGGTCAAATAGCAGCGGTTCCCTGTGGGGTGTTTGAGGAACTCTAGAGTGGCTGCTAGGCTTAATGTCTCTACAACTGCTGTAGTAATGAGGCTGCTTGTTTTCAAGGTTAATGCAAAGCTAGGGAAAGGAAGATGGAAAACACAACCACCATAAAGTTTGCTGTTCTTACTGAGGTTCAGCCATTTTTCTTCAGTATACACTCAGATTGTTATAAGAGCTTGGTTACCTTCCAAAGTTCTGAAAAAGTTGGTTTTGATAATTTTTGCCAGTGTTCTTACTGTTTCTGTGGATGAATTGATTTTTGGAAGTCCTTACCCTGCCATTTTGAAAGTACTTCTACCAGGTGTAAATACTTTTAAAGAATTTGTCATGACCTTCTGTAGAGAATATAATCTTGAATTATGGCTCTAGATTAGAACCAAAACACACACTATGCAATCAGTATTTATTGATGTTCTGAGATCATCATCAAAGAAAGATTGTCTTGTTATACTTGCTTTAATGCAGTCACTGATACAATTGTGTGAACAGAGGAAAATTCACTTAAAAAGTAGTTCTGACTTTATGCCTAGAACTGTCTCAGGAGGTGGGAAAATTGAATCAATACACAGGGTATTATTCATAACTCTTCTGCATAAAACTCATTATAATCAGTTATATAATCAGTTATAATCAGGGAATTCAGAAAAAGGAGAGCATTTAGGTTAGAAAAGTCAGAGGTAGGTTCCTTCATAAAGGGAAGTGGAACTTGAACACAATCTTGAAGGATAAATGGTGGTGAATAAATAAGAGGAAGACCAGTGTAGGCTGGGGGCCTGATGTTAGCATCAAGGAGGAAAACAAGCCCCACGGAGACCTGCCCTTTTGCTTTAGAGAGTTTTTGTTTTCTTACCGTGGAATAATAATGAAAATTAAAGGTAAATGAGTTGCAGATAGATTCTAGAAGTGGCAGTTGATTAGTCCAAAGCCCCTTAGTCATTTATAAAATATTTGTAAATTAAGAGTTAGAAACAAGTAAATGCTGTGTTTTGGCCACCTTTAAATTATTTTGCAGATAGGATTTGAAGCTGACAAATTAATTTCTCCTAAATCAGAGCTTTTGGATTTGAATATGTGTAATTTTCTCATTTTTAGGTGTCATTTGCCTATGTTGTATATTGGATTGGAATACGGTTTGACCAATAACTCAAAACTGGCTGAAAGGTTCTTCAGCCAAGCTCTGAGCATCGCACCAGAAGACCCTTTTGTTATGCATGAGGTCGGAGTGGTTGCATTTCAGAATGGAGAGTAAGTACTAGAAGACCAGAAACCCTTCTGTGTTAACTAAGTGATTTTAAACAGGGTAGGACAGTCACTAGAGTTAACTGACCAAAGGGACTCTTCAGTAGATTTGCACTTTTAAATGTACTATTTTAGGAGAAGAAGACAGGAAGAAAAAAAGAGAGAGAGAAACTGTTACCTTGCATTTCCTTAAAAATTCTAAACCCAGGTTTTGGTCTTTTTTTGATCTGAGCTTGTTTTCTTACATGGTTGCACAGTTCAGATGCGCACACCCCCAGAGTGTGGCCGGGAGCACTGTGGGGTCCTTAGTCATCTCTATGTTGATTAGGACTTGGATTCATATATTTGAGAAAGCTTTGACATGGTTTTTGAAACAAAAGTGTTTTTTATTTAGTTACTAGTAAGTCAGAAAATTAAAGTAATTAGAATGACCCAGTCTTGTGAGTTTCCTGGTCAGAGGAGGCTTTTCTGTATTCAAGGATATTAGTAGAATAAGTGATTTGATGTTATATTCAAAGAGAAAAATGTCTAATGATTCGCATTTCATGATACAAAAATTTTAAAATGGTAAATTAATATTAATACTACTTTAGAGTCATTTATGGCATGTATGTATTCTAAGAAATGGTTTAGGTATTTTTAAAAGTTTGAAGCTTTAAAGTAAGTAGTAATCTTTTAATGTAATACAGTAATCATCAGCATTTGTGAATTTGCCTAGTCACTAAAATTTATTTGTAACCTTGAAATCAGTTCCTGAGGTGCTTTCCCTAGCCATTGGCAGATGTGCCCAGGGCTGAGGCAAAGCTGGGTCTCTCGTACACAGCCACACTTGGAGTCTAAGAAGGCAACGCTCTGCCGTTTTTCCCAGCTCAGCTATAAACCAGTGTACTTTTTGTGGTCTGTCTAGTGCCACAGTTTTCACATTTTTCTGCTTTTTGTTGGTGATTTCACTGTTTAAAATAATCCCTAGGCTTAGTGAAATGCTATCTAGTGTTGTGACATATCTTACAAAGGAAACACATGTATTAGAGAAGCTTCATGCAGGCAGGCATCAGTTATAATGTGCTGCTGGCCCTGAGTTCAATGTTGATGAATCAACAATTTGTATCAAATAAGATGTCTTTAAATAGAAACCCACATAAAACAAGGTTACACATTGATCAGTTAGAGAAAATGTGACCAGAGATTTGCAGGAATCTAACTCTATTTCCCCTGGGAGCAGCAGTTCAATATTTGCTGACTCATTGTACACAGTGACTTGATAGAACATAAATACTGTGGTTGGCTGGGTGCAGTGGCTCATGCCTGTAATCCCAGCACTTTGGGAGGCTGAGGTAAGCATATTACTTGAGGCCAGGGGCTTGAGACCAGCCTGGACAATATGGTGAAGCCCCATCTGTACTAAAAATATAGAAATTACCTGGACATGGTGTTGTACTCCTGTAATCCCAGCTATGTCAGGAGGCTGAGGCATGAGAGTCACTTGAACCCGAGAGGCAGAGGTTGCAGTGAGCCAAGATCGCATCACTGCAATCCATCCTGGGTTAGAGTGAGACTCTTAAAAAAAGAAGAAGAACATAAATATCTCCTAAAATCTTGAATTCTTTGTGTTAATGCCATAATGTTAATCATTTATGTGACTTAACTTTGAATTTTTATAGTTATTTCCAGCAGTTTACCCCATTTCATTTCAGTACTACTGGAAAGATAATCAAATTTTTTTTAAGTTTATATTTGCTAATTTTGAATAATCTGCAGTGTTTTTCCCCTTTATTTTAGGTGGAAAACAGCTGAAAAATGGTTTCTTGATGCTTTGGAAAAAATTAAAGCAATTGGGAACGAGGTATTCTTTGTACTATCTGTAAATACGCATATACACCCCTGAATGTGTTCACTGCTAAATGAGGAAAATAACACAGTCTCTCTTGCCTTAGAAGATAATAACCTGATATTTATCATAACAAGCTGCTGTTAATGTAAGAAATGAGTTTTTTCCTAATTTAAGGGGCAGGTGTTAGGTGTTTGCTTAAGTGGGCTCCAGCTTTGAAATGTGAGAGGCATCAGAATAGACTGGATGATTATTTGAAGCTAGGAATAGTCTATGGTTCGTGGAAACTATTGGGCACTGTAGTGTCTGAGGTAATATTTCTCCTCTAGAACTTCAGAGAGCCTCTTTGAAGGGTAAAGTATAGCAGCAGGTCCCACTTCTGAAAGAATAGGGATGGGACAGGTATCTCTCAAATTCACCTTTGTTGCTGTTACTGAATACTCAGTGTGTATTTGGGCCTTTCCATTTTGAAATATTTGACTGCTTCTGTTGTATTAACAATGTACCCCATGAATTGGTGCTTATGAGTTAGCCTAACAACTAGCAAGGATGTGTATATACTGATATTACTTAAAAGTAGTAACAATTTTAGATACCATAAACTTGCATAGGTAAGAGATTCTTATGTTGCTCTTCTGATTTCTTCATGCCCATTTGGTTTCATTCTATTCTGATTTTCACTTCTCAGCTTCCTGCTGTTCCTGTTTGTGCACACCTGCCCACAGTTTTCTGTCCCTTGGCTGTTAGCTCTCTGCTGTTACAGACACAGCTTTGCCTCCCTGCCAGGCGACATGCCTGTCCCCATAGACGCAGCTTTGTTTACTCTGGTCTGTCATGTCATCTGAACGTATAAGCACTATTTCTGTTTATTTCCACACGTGTGTACATAAAGCAGGTGCCTCTGCCGCATAGTCTTTGGTAGTTCTGGATAATGCAAGTGTTTTGTTAGTAGGGGATTGCCACTTGCCACCTTGTCAGTTTTCTAAGATGTGACTGCCTTGTACCCCAGACAGGCTCAGCAGCGTCAGCATCACCTAGAAGCCTGCTAGCAGTGCAGAGTCTCAGACCAACTAAATCAAAATCTGCAGTTTTAGCAAGATCCGCAGGTGATTCTCATGCACAGAAAAGTTTGAGAAGCACCTTCCTAAACCGTACTTTAAGTTGAACCTGTATTCTTTGATGATTCAGAGGCACTTTATAGTCTTACAGAAATTTAAAATATGAAAGCACAATACTATCGAAATGTCAAAATGCCCTTTAAAAAGTTATATGAAGAGAGGGAAAATACTGACTTCAATGAAGAGAAACGGTCATGCCTAAGAGTCATTAAATGATTTGTCTTTCATTCACCTGGGCTGTGCCTCCAAGAGCTGGTCTCAATAAAGTTAGTCTGTGGCTCATGTGTGCTCATTCATTTAGTTGACATATATTTAATGAGTGTCAGCCATGCCATAGGCTCTAAGCTAGGTGTCGGGATGCAGCAGGGAATGAGTTTACTATTTCCTGACCTCAGATACACTGGGGCATATAAGTAAGTAGATAGGCAGTGAAAATACAATGCAACTGGGGAACTAAAGGTGCTCATCGAGAAAGGCAATTCACCCAGAAATGAGGCTTTGGTTACAACATGCACCTCAGTCCTGAAGGTCATCAGACATTAGCCAGGCAAAAATGAGGGCTAGAGTATTTTAGTGTTTGCAAAAATTAGAGCTAATTCGGTGTGGCTTGGATGTTGAGTTCACAGAGAATGTCAAGGAGTAGGCCAGGAGAGTTAAGTTGTGGGTCACCAAGGGCCCAGAATGATGTTGACAAGTTTGCGCCTTATCCTGAGGAGAGTGGGAAAACAAAAGGGATTTTAGAAGGAAATGACCTGGTCAGACTTTTATGACTGGAGCCCAGATTTGACTTTATTAATGAGGAAGGTGAGGATTAAATAGGTTGGAGTTGTGCCCAGGAATTAGAAGGAACCAGCCCTGGTGTGCTTCGTGGGAGGGTCAAGGGGATGGGTGTGCCATTCACTCAGGAGGGGCACTCGGAAGCGGTGATGTCAGGGCTGATATACCCCGGGAGAGATGGGTGTGGTGCTTGTAACATTTCCAAGTAGAAGTATTTAGGCAAATGGATACAGAGGGCTGGCGTTTGAGGGAAAGCTCTGAGCTGCAGATATTCATTTGAACTCCTGCAGGGATAGGCTCTTGGATAACTTGTCCTAATAATAACAGCATCCTCAGAAAGTCTCCTAGTAGGAAAGTAAGGGAGATAAACCAGCAGTTACCCTAACCCTTGTGGGGTGCTGGAGGCACACACTGGGAGAGAGCCCAGCTTGCAGATGTGAAATAATTCAGTGCAAACAAATCAGGCTGAACAGTGACATATATAACTCGTGGGCTTGATGTTGCTATGTTTTAGGTAACAGTTGACAAATGGGAACCTTTGTTGAACAACTTGGGGCATGTCTGCAGAAAACTTAAGTAAGTGAAGTAGAGCATTTTCAGAAATATACTTCGTGATTCAAAGTTTACTTAATTTTGAATGCTTTGTCATATTTTTATTTTGTGAGATCCACCAGCTTTCTTGTACTTGGCTGCTCTGATATAAGCATCAAAATCAGTTTTTACTATTTATCTCTGTTGGTGTAATTTTATTTTAGAAACCCATTGAGAGTTTTACTTTTTTCTAGATTAAAATTTAGCATTCAAAGTTAATTTGGAAGAATTAAGACAGTAAGATGTAATTGAAATCCTATCTATATTCTGTTTTCTGCTAGAGGTTTTGTGGTGTGAGAAACAGGCGACAGTTGAAAAATTGATTTTTCGGCAATTTTAGGTTACTCAAGATTTAACAAGTGTTTCTATTGCAGGATTTCTTTGAGTCTTTACTATGTATTATGAGCTATAACATTTTCCAAAGTTTAATTGGGCATAAAACATTTTTTTCACAAAAGATTTTACAAGTCAGGTATTCCAGAGAACATTGAGGAACACTTTTCTAAGTCTTTTGGACCTTAAAGCAATACTCCTTGGCTACTTTCGTGTCCCCCTGATATGGGACATTGACTGTCACCTAAGAGGGTGGTGTGTGGTAAGGATACGGCCAGGAGGCAGGGATGAGGTTCTGGTCAGAAGGAATACAGCGGACATCCCTGCAGGAGTACCCTCGGCCAGAGGGAGCAGGCCTGGAGGATGCATTTAGAGGGCATATTGAGTAGGCAGGTGTGGAGGATAGCCACCAGTCCAGACTGCTGTTCTCATTGAGACAGTGTTTCTTAGGTGTTGATATGGATGAACACTCATCTTAGACTTAGGAATTTAGTGCTTTTACTGTACCCAATAATTGTGTTCTCCCCCACAGAAAGTACGCCGAGGCCTTGGACTACCACCGCCAGGCACTGGTGTTGATTCCTCAGAATGCGTCCACCTACTCTGCTATCGGGTATATCCACAGTCTGATGGGCAACTTTGAAAATGCTGTGGACTACTTCCACACAGTATGTCTTTTCTTTGTACCTAATTTTAAAACTGGTTAACATTGGCCACTTCCTTTTTTTGAAAATAATTTCTCTTGGTAATATTTACTTACTATTTTAATATTCTTTAGGCAACCTTATATTTTATTCTTTTCTTTGCAGAGAAAAGCATGTGGGTGTTGTACAATATTCGTCAAATTAGAAACAAACATGAGTCTTGCCCTCCGTGTTTGCAGTGAGGTGTGCAGGTGCGCAGTCGCGCTTGTCAGTGAACTGAGTGCTATGTGTGGACTGGGATCACAGGGTTGTATGTCCACAGCAGGCCCTTTGGGAACTCCCAAATTTTCTCTTCATGACTAATTAATTCCCTTAGATCACTGTAGTAGATGAACAAAACAGTCTCTGCAGTCATCACAAGGAAGGAACCTTTCCTTAATCTGTGTACCATATTCCATCAAATTTAAGACATTGTGAGTAAGCAGGATGACCACAAAGAAAAAAGTGCAGCCGATTAAACTTTTACATAATTTTTTCCTGTCACTTAATTTTCTTGTACTTAGAGTGAATACTCTTGAACATATTTAGGCAGATTTGTATTACTCCGGTATATACATAAAAATGAAATGTATAAATAAGTGAAATAAATGGTTACAATATTCAACCCAGAGGGCCAGACTCTGTGTTTTCCCAAAATAGTGCCCTGGTGCTAGCACACACACCCGGTCCTGACTCTGGGTTTCCTCCCAGCCACAGACACCTGCTTTGCAAATCTCTCCCTCATCCCTCTCAGTCTGCTAAAGTGTCAACAGAAGAAGGTTTTTAGAAAACCTCAATTCCTGTATCTGTTTAAGTGTTCCTCACATGGTCTGTGATCTAGTCTGTGCTGCCAACATAACCACGAGGTCCGCACTGTTTAGGAAGGTTACCCACATCACAGTGGTGGCTGGTTGATGGCAGTGGTAGGAAACCACAGGTAAAAGGGAAGGAATGCTTGAATTTGAGAAAGTGTGGGTCTTAGAATCAGTGAACTAATGGTATTTGGAGAGATAGAGATAAAATATGAGAAAAATTATCAAAGATAAACTCATGATAGGTTTGTAACTGATTTTCAAGAGTCATTTAGAGATTTTGAGGTTAGATGAAGTCATGAAGGTGCCATGATGGTAACCAGAGCACTGGCCTCATTGGACACCGGGACTAAGCACATTTTCCAGCCCTGTATGATCTTTTCAATATGTATATTTGGGTATTATATAATTTACCTTTCTTCTGTGATCTGATTAATATAGAAGGCTCAGAGACCTCCGTATGGAGTTTTGTTTTTGTTTTTGTTTTTTAAGACAGAGTTTTTGCTCTTGTTGCCTAGGCTGGAGTGCAGTGGCATGATCTTGGCTCACTGCAACCTTTGCCCCCCAGGTTTAAGCGATTCTCCCGCCTGAGCCTCCTGAGCAGCTGGGATTACAGGCACCTACCACCACGCCCAGCTAATTTTTGTATTTTTTAGTAGAGACGGGGCTTCACCATGTTGTCCAGGCTGATCTCAAATTCCTGACCTCAGGTGATCCACCTGCCTCAGCCTCCCAAAGTGCTGGGATTATAGGCATGAGCCACTGCACCCAGCTGAGATAGAACTTTCTTTAAAATACCTTTTGGGGTAGATTTCCAGCATAAGAGAATAGTGTGATGAACCTCCATGACCCATAACCAACTTCAACAATCATCAGCTCATGGCCAGTCATGGAGCTCTGTCCCTGCTAATAGCCCCTTTCCCCGACCCTGGACGCCCTGGAATCTTTTGAAGTGAATCAGTGTGGTAATATTTCTAAACAAAAGAGAAGGAAATACATTTTCTTTTAATAACCATGCTGAATCTTTTATGGCAGGCCCTTGGTCTTAGGCGAGATGATACGTTTTCTGTTACAATGCTTGGTCATTGCATCGAAATGTACATTGGTGATTCTGAAGCTTATATCGGTAAGGTGATCATTATTCTTATTGGTATTGTACTCCATTTTTTAGGTTGTCATATATCTCTGTTTTTGTTTTTCATTCTCATCTGAGGCTCAAAGTTTATCTTTCTAACCATTCGTCCTGCATTAAAAATAAACTCCATTTATTTTATTAGAACAATGCTGTGGGGAGTTAGTGACTCACCAAGGATGGATTCAGTTTAAAGTTGATTACTTGCTGTATGCAAAATACCACTATAGAATATGTGTAAAGCACTTGGTTATAGAAGGACCCATCTGTTTCTATAATGGAAAAAGAAGCTCCCAAGGTGCCCCAGGCTGTCAGAAATTACCTGGAGTCCTCTCATGTGGGCGTCAAGAGTGGCAAGAAGACAGACTGGGGAAATAATCCAGTCAGCTGAGAAGAAAAACAAATAATTAGTATAGTCCCATTGTAAAGTTGGATAAACTGAGGCACAGCACAGTTTAAAAATACATGTTCACAGAGTTAGGCTCCACAGCTCGCTCTCTTAACCATCCTGTAATTCTGCCTGCTCTATGGCCAGTCACTGATGCACTTGTCTGGTACCTTACGGCACGCTTAGCAAACAGTTTCCCTGCCCCATAGAACCTGGATTTCATTTCCTGCTCTATAGCTATAAAATTTAACAATTTTTCTCTGAATATGTTGGGTTCTATCCCTATATATCTCAAATTTTATTAATGTTACTGAATCTTATAGGGGTCTGTGATGTCCTTAATCCTTAGAAATATTAAATAATCTATAAACAAAGGAATACATGAGGTTAAAAAGTATTCAAATTTCTATATGCTTTAAAACATTGAGTCAGTGTATTGAGAAATACACCTAAGAAACTGCAGTGAATCTACTCTGGACAAAATAATTTTTTTTTTTGAGATGGAGTTTCGTTCTTGTTGCCCAGGCTGGAGTATAATGGTGCAGTCTCAGCTCATTGCAATCTCTTATCTCCTGGGTTCAAGCGATTCTCCTGCTTTGGTCTCCTGAGTAGTTGAGATAACAGGCGCCTGCCACCACGCCCAGTCAATTTTTTGGATTTTTAGTAGACACGGGGTTTCATCATGTTGGTCAGGCTGGTCTTGAACTCCTGATCTCAGGTGATCCACCCGCCTTGGCCTCCCAAAGTGCTGGGATTACAGGTGTGAGCCCAGCCTATTCTGGACAAAATTTTAGAAAATCTCTTCAAAAGAAGCTATCTAGGCCAAGCGTGGTGGCTCATGCCTGTAATCCCAGCACTTTGGGAGGCTAAGGCAGGCCGATTACCTGAAGTCTACGGTGCAAGACAAACCTGGCCAACATGGTGAAATCCCACCTCTACTAAAAATAAAAAAATAAAACTAACCAGGCATAGTGGTGCGAGCCTGTAATCCCAGCTACTTGGGAGGCTGAGGCAGGAGGATCACTTGAACCCAGGAGGCAAAGGTTGCAGTGAGCCAAGATTGCACCACTGCACTCCAGCCTGGGTGACAGAGCAAGATTCCCATCTCAAATAAAAAAAGAATTGTGGTAGTTTTACATATATTAACAGTAGACTGAAAATAAGAAAAGGACTCTGGTCCCTCAACCAAACCAGGCAGTGGCGGTCAGGCACTTCCACACAGAAACCTTTCACTGTCACCAGAGAGTGGCCCCAGACAGAGACCTGCAGGTGCCTCTGTGCTTAGGTACATCTACTCTGGAAAAAATAATTTTTTTTTTGTCCATCTACTCTGGACCAAAAAGGGTCCACTGAGGGTCCCAAGTTGGAAAGGGAAAGAGAGAGGAGAAAGGGCTCCCCTGTTTGGAGCAGAGGGATCCCACATGGCAATAGCTCTAGCTTATGCCCACAAATGAAGCCTCTATAGAGAAGAAAAAGGGAAAAAGAAATCCCCAAATTTGGGCTAACCTCCTGACTGGCTCACCAAAATATGTTATTGCTGTGGAAGGTCTTGACTGCAAGTTGTCCAGGTCCTGGGCGTGCTGAACAAAACCCACAAAGCAATGGAAGACAAAAGCATAGGTTTATTGAAGTGAAAGTACACCAGACAGAGTGGGAGCGGGCTTGAGCAAGTAGCTGATGAGCCCCAGTTGCAAATCTTATGGGGTTTAAGTACCCTTAGAGGTTTCCTGTTGGTTATAGCCTTTGCAAATTAAGTGTTGACCTGTAGCCAATCAGAGGCTGAAGTGAAGGCTCCCTGTCTCTAAGCCCTATTCTGCCTCTGTTAAGAAGCAAATAAAGGCCCTCAACATCATTACTTATCAGGGAAAAGAAATTAAAACCATAATGATACTGGTGCACACCTCTGGTGCCAGCTGCTTGGAGGGCTGAGGCAGGAGGATCACTGGAGCCCAGGAGATCAAAGCTGCAGGGATCACGCCACTGTACTCCAGCCTGAGCAACAGAGTGAAAACTTGTGTCAGAAAAGTAATAATAAAAATAAAACCATAGTGAGATACCAGTACATACCCACCAGAATGGCTAAAAATTAAAACTACTAGCTGAGCATGGTGGCTCATGGCCGTAATCCCAGCACTTTGGGAGGCAAAGGTGGGTAGATCATGAGTTCAGGAGTTCAAGACCAGCCTGGCCAAGATGTTGAAACTGCATCTCTACTAAAAATACAAAAATTACCTGGGCGCCGTAGCAGGTACCCGTAATCCCAGCTCTTCAAGGAGGCTGAGGCAGGAGAATCACTTGAACCTGGGGAGCGGAGCTTGCAGTGAGCCAAGATCACACCACTGCACTCCAGCCTAGGCGACAGAGTGAAACTCTGTCTCAATTAAAAAAAAATTAGAAATACTGACAGTATGTAGTGTTGGTGTGATGTGGAACAACTGGAACTCTTATAGATTGACTATTGGTGGGCTATAAAAGAGTAAAACCTCTGGAAAACTGCTTAACATCACAGTAAAGTTAAGCCTATTATATCAGTTACCTACTGCTGCCTAACCAACCACTCCAAAACCTCAACCAACAACAGTGTATTACTTTTACAGTTCTGTGGGTTGAGTGACTCATGTGCAGGTCTTATCTAGGTTTACTCATGCAGCTGTGGTCATCAGATGCTTGACTGGGTAGATGGTTTAAAATGGTATCATTCTCCAGTAGAGGAGCTCAGCTTGGGTGCTGAGTCTCTCTCTGTGGGGCTTTCATCTTAGTTTTCTTTGTAGCATGATGTTCTCAGGGTTCTAAAGGATAAGAATCAAAGCTTCAAGACCTCTTGAAAATTCAAAGTTGCATAACATCACTTCCAGCACTTTCTGTTCTATCAGTGCGAGTCTCATAAGCTTAAGAGTTGATGTGGGAGGGGGCTGTATAAGGGTCAGGGTGCTGGGAGGTGTGATTCATTGGAGTGGGTATTAGGGTGATGACTGACCATACTGATCTTATGATGTAGCAGTTCTTCTCCCAGGTATAAGCCCAATGGAAGCAAGTGCTTCTGTTCTCTAAAGGTCACAAACAAGAGTATTCATGGCTTTATTCATTATAGCACCTAACTGGGAAATGACCCAAATGTCCAGCAGTAGGAGAGAGGAGAAATAAACTGTGGTATGTTCATTACAACAGAATACTCTGTTACTTGAGAGACTACTGAATCATTGGAATTTCAGATTTTTGACAAAAAACATAGAAAATGTACTAATTGCTTCAATTCATAGGAAGATTAGTGTATTAGTTCCTTCTCGCATTGCTATAAAGAAATACCTGAGCCTGGGTAATCTGTAAGCAAAGAAATGTAATAGGCTTACAATTCTGCAGTCTATACAGGAAGCATGATGCTGGCCATCTGCTTGGCTTCCTGGGAGGCCTCAGGAAACCTGAAATCATGGCGCAAAGCAAAGTAGGGAGCTAGCACTTCACATATCCGGAACAGGAGGAATTAGAAAGGGAGGAGGTGCTACATTCTTTAAACAACCAGAAAACACTATCACAAGAACAGCACCGAGAGACTGGTGCTAACCATTCAGGAGAAACTGCCTCCATGACCCTCCCACCTCCAACACTAGGGATTACAGTTCAACCTGATATTTCGTGGGGACACAGGTCCAAACCATGTCAATCAGTAATGGACAAAACTAATTGGTAGTGATAGAAAAGTCCGAGTAGCTGGGAGCATTGACCAGGAGTGGGCACAGATGGGTCTTGAGGAGATGTAATGTCCTGTGCCCCTCTGGCAGTATTCGTGTGGGGTGCATGTACATAAGGGTTCATTCAGCCCTGTGCTTAAGAGGATTCACACTGGCCGCATGGTTTTAGCTCCATTTTAAAAAACAGATGTTGGATTGAAGCCTTAGCTCTGCCCCACCGCAGCCCGGTGGCAAGGAAGGCAAATCTGCGCCTCAGTTTCAAAGGTGTGAAGTTCATAGGAAGCTAAGTAAGGGCTGGAGAGTTGATAATGAGTCAGATAGACGTTTCCCTGACCTCACAGAGGAGGTTTATCATTCATGCCATTTTTATTTTTAGAAAGTTTGCATGTCATTATCTGCCAAAATACCTATTCCTGAAAGCTATTGGTTGGAACTGTGTAAAACTATCATTTTGTTTATGTCAAACGATTGAACCTAATACATCTGTTCGGATCTGTTCAAATCTGTATTAATCTTAAGGTTTTAATATATGGGAAATGGATTTTATTTCATCGTGGCTTCTGTATGCATAAGATTGGTGACTATACCCCGTGGGCACATCACAACGCAGTTCTTACCTGTAACAGCTGAGAAAAAAGTTGCCCACGGGCCTCATCTGTATTTAGGAGGCCTTGGAAACAGGGCAGCTGTTGAGACTACATGTGCTTCTAAAAGTCTTCTGGCACCTCTTTTGAAAATGATGGAAAACAAATGAAAAAGAAGAAAAAGAGAGGAACGTTGTTTTCATTCTGCTCTCAGCTTGTGTGCTATTAATAGTATAATTTGACTTAAATGATAGAGATGGTATATAATGATGGAAATTATAAATGATGGAATTTCATATTTTATTCTAATTAGTATAATCTGACTTAAATGATAGAAATGGTGTTATATAACAATGAAAATCATAGATAAATGATGGAATTTCTTCTTTTATTCTAATTATAGTGTTTCTTTTTAGGAGCAGACATTAAAGACAAATTAAAATGTTATGACTTTGATGTGCATACAATGAAGACACTAAAAAACATTATTTCACCTCCCTGGGATTTCAGGGAATTTGAAGTAGAAAAACAGACTGCAGAAGAAACGGGGCTTACGCCATTGGAAACCTCAAGGAAAACTCCTGATTCCAGACCTTCCTTGGAAGAAACCTTTGAAATTGAAATGAATGAAAGTGACATGATGTTAGAGACATCTATGTCAGACCATAGCACGTGACTCCAGTCAGTGTTTCTGGTCCCGCTGTCCCAGTGTAGGTTAGTATTCCCTCACATCCTTTCCATGGCTTAAGAATTTCCCACTTCCTAACGTGACTCCAAACTGCATCTCTACATTTAGGAACAGAGACCCGCCTTAAGAGACTGGATCGCACACCTTTGCAACAGATGTGTTCTGATTCTCTGAACCTACAAATAGTTAAACATAGTGGAATAAAGAAGGTAAACCATCTATTATGTCTTTTTTTTTTTTTTTTTCATTTTCAATAATTTTTTATTTTGGACTAATTTTAGATTTACAGAAAAATTGCCAAAATAGTATAGACGCCTTCTGTGTGCCCCTCACCTAGCTTCCGCCATTTTTTTTTTTTTGAGACAGAGTCTTACTGTTACCCAGGCTAGAGTGCAGTGGTACGATTTCAGCTTACTGCAATCTCCGCCTCCCGGATTCAAACAATTCTCCTGCCTCAGCCTCCCGAGTAGCAGGGATTACAGGCTCCCGCCACCATGCCCAGCTAATTTTTGTGGTTTTAGTAGAGACGGGGTTTCACCATGTTGGCCAGGCTGTTCTTGAACTCCGGACCTTGTGATCCGCCTACCTCAGCCTCCCAAAGTGCTGGGATCACAAGCGTTAGCCACCAAGCCTGGCCTCTCCCATAGTTTACCTCTTTCATGACCGTGGAACATCTGTCACTAAGCAACCAACATTGTAGTTACCGTTAATTAAAACCCAGACTTTATTTGGATTTCACCAGTTTTTCCCTAATGTCTGCTTTCTGTCCCAGAGTCCCATCCAGGCATGTACTGCATTTGGTCATCCCGTCTCCTTTGCGTTCTGTAGCCTGTGACAATTTCTTGGACTTCCCTTGTTTTTCATGACCCTGACAGTTTTGAGGAGTACTGCCCAGGCAGTCTGTAGAACATCTCTCAATTTGAGTTTGTTTGATGTGTTTCTCAAGCGCCTTTCTCATCACATCCTACTGTGTGGTTGTGACCGCCACAAGACCTCTCCCAGGCAGTGCTGACCTTGGTCACCTGGTCACAGTGGTGTCTGCCAGATTTCTCCCGTCAAGTTCCTGTTGTTCCCTTTCCATACTCTATGGGTTGAGGAGGTTTAAGCTCCAACCCCTGGAGAGGGCAGTATCTGTGCATGTTACACTTCTTGAAGATTTGTTTCTTCTCTCCTGTTTATTCAGTCATTTACCAGTGTGGACTCATGTACTTACATGCATACCTCAGGGACACTGCAGGTTTGGTTTCAAACCGATGAAATAAAGCAAATATCACAATAAAACAAGTTTCAAAAATTCTTTGGTTTCCTAATGCATATTAAGCCTGTAGCCTATTAAGTATGTAGCAGCATATGTCCAAAAAACAATGTACATACCTTAATTTTAAAATACTTTCCCAGCCTGACCAACATGGTGAAACCCTGTCTCTACTAAAAATATAAAAATTAGCCAGCAGTAGTGGCACGCACCTGTAATCTCAGCTACTCAGGAGGCTGAAGCAGGAGAATCGCTTGAACCCGGGAGGTGGAGGTTGCAGTGAGCCAAGACTGAGCCACTGCACTGCAGCCTGGGTGACGGAGAAATCACACCACTATACTCCAGTCTGAGCAACAGAGACCCTGTCTCAAAAAAGAAAAAAAAACTTTATTGTTAAATGCTAATGATCATCTAACCCTTTAGGAAGTTGTAATCTTATAGCTGATGGAGGGTCTTGCCTCCATGTGGATGGCTGATGATGGTTGCTGAAGGCTGGGGTGACTGGCAATTTCTTAAAATAAGACAGTGAAGTTGGCTGCATTGATTGACTTACTTTATTGAAAGATTTGTCTATGCTGTTTGACACCAGATTACAGTAGACTGTCTTTCAAAATTGGAGTTAATCCTCTCAAACTCTGATGCTGCTTTGTCAACTTTTTCAATTGTTCACAGTATCTTCACCAGGAGTAGATTCCATTTTGAGAAACTATTTTCTGTGCTCATCCATAGAGAAAAACTCTTCATCTATTAATGTTTTATGAGATTGCAGCAATTCAGTCACATCTTCAGGCACCATTTTTATTTCTTTTTATTTACTTTTTTTTTGACAAAGGGTCTCTTATGTTGGCCAGGCTAGTCTCGAACTCCTGGGCTCAAGCAGCCCTCCCACTTCAGCCTTCCAAGTAGCTGGGATTACAGGCACACACCACCACACCCAGCTCAACTTCTAATTTTAGTTATCTTGCTATTATCACCACGTGCTGCAATTTCTTCCTTCATTGACATCTTGAAATTCTTAAAGTCATTCATGAGGGTTGGAATCAACTTCTTCCAAACTCCCATTTTGACCTCCTCTCATAAATCACAAATGTTCTTAATGGCATTTAGAATGGTGAATCCTTTCCAGAAAGTTTCTGTGTTTTTTGCCCAGATCCATCAGAGGAATCACTCTCTGTGGCAGCTATAGCCTTACAAAATGTATTTCCTAAAAAATAAGACTTGAAATTCAAAATGACTCCTTGATCCATGAGCTGCAGGACAGATGTGTTAGCAGCATGCAAACAGCATTTACCTTGTGCATCTCGGGGCTGTCCAGGTCCACTGTCAGGACTGTCAATGAGCAGTAATATTTTGGGGTTTTTGGTTTTTTTTTTTTTTGAGATGGAGTCTCACTCTGTCACCCAGGCACTCTGTCACCCAGGCTGGAGTGCAGTGGCACAATCTCAGCTCACCACAACCTCTGCCTCCCAGGTTCAAGTGATTTTCCTGCCTCTGCCTCCTGAATAGCTGGGATTACAGATGCACGCCACCACGACCAGCTAATTTTTGTATTTTTAGTAGAGACAGGGTTTTACAATGTTGGTCAGGCTGTTCTTGAACTCCTGATCTCGTGATCTGCCCGCCTAGGCCTCCCAAAGTGCTGGGATTATAGGCGTGAGCCACTGCTCCTGGCAATGGTATTTTGAAAAGAATTTTTTTTCTGAACAATAAGTCTTAAGGGTAGGCTTAAAATAGTAAACCCTACTGTAAACGGACGTGCTGTCATCCATACTTTTTCTATTCGAAGGACAGGCAGAGTACACTTAGCTCTCAGATTTTCTTCACAATGTGAATGAGCACTGGCTTTAGTTTAAAGCCTCCAGCTGCATTAGTCCTTAGCAAGTTAGCCTATTCTTTGAAAGAAGGCATTGACTTCTCTTCAGCCGTGAAAGTCCTATGGCATCATATTCCAGTGTAAGGCTATTTTGTCTGCATTGAACACCTGCTGTTTAATGAAGCCACCTTCATTGGGCTTCTCCATCAGCACTTGCTGTTTCATCTTGCACTTTTTATGCTATGGAGATGACTTCAGGAATACAGACTTTGCAAAAATAACTTAGAAAATTCACTATACAAATGAACTGCAGCCCTCAACAAGTAACAAAACCAATCCCTGAGAGGGATAATCTAATTTCCAGAGCTAATGGTCATATTCAAACAGTCCTCAATACAAAATTACAGAGCACACAAATAAAATGGAAAATATGGTTGACTTATGGGAAAAAAGGAATATGACAGAAACTGTCACTGAGGAAGCCCAGATACTAGTTCAGGAATACAGACTTTGCAAAATAACTTAGAAAATTCACTGATCTTTTTATTGTCTCTCTGGTCAGTCTGTAAACCTGACAGAGATTTCCTTAAATGTCTGGATCTTTTCTTCCTCGAGTTGGGGTCTAACTCTGTTACCTAGGCTAGAGTGCCTAGGTAACAATCATAGCTCACTACAGGCTCCAACTCCTGGGCTCAAGGGATCCTCTTGCCTCCGCCTCCCGAGTTGTTAGGACTACAGGAATGCACCACGACGCCTGGCTAATTTTTATTTCTGTAGAGACGGAGTCTCACTATGTTACCCAGGCTAGTCTTGAACTCCAGGGCTCCAGCAATCCTCTCGCCTCAGCCTCCTGAAGTGCTGGGTTTACAGGCCTGAGTACTCACGCTGGGTTCAGTATCTGGATCTTTTTTCTAAAAAAAGGTCTCTAAATTTTCTGATGGTACTGGGGAAACTGCTGCAGCCTGACAGGGTGGAAACAAAGGCATGCATCTACGCTGGTCCCTCAGGGCACCACCATATTGACCAAACGCACAGGGTCCTCGCTGAGAACAGGCTGTAGCAGGTGGGTAGGCTCTCCACCCACACCCTCTTACCAAAGAGCTGCAGCCTCTGCATCATCAAGCCTGCCCCTGGTTGCAATAAGCATCTGATTAGGTGACAGATGTTAGAAAACAGTTGATTCTGCCAATTTTTTTGTCCTGCTTAATGGTTTTGGTGGAAGAACCAATCAATCCCTGAAGCTTCCTGCCCTGCTATTCTCTGTGACATCACTTCTGTTTTTTAAAACTGTATTAGTCATACATTAAAAAAAAACAAAACAAAACTATAGCTGGCTGGGCACGGTGGCTCACACCTGTAATGCCAGCACTTTGGGAGGCCGAGGCAGGCAGATCACGAGGTCATGAGTTTGAGACCAACCTGAACAACATGGTGAAACCCCATCTCTACTAAAAAAAAAATACAAAAATTAGCCAGGCATGGTGGCAGGTGCCTGTAATCCCAGCTACTCAGGAGGCTGAGGCAGGACAATTGCTTGAACTCAGGAGGCTGATGCAGGAGAATCACTTGAACCTGGGAGGTGGAGGTTACTGTGAGCCAAGATTATGCCACTGCACTCCAGCCTGGGCGACAAGAGCAAGACTCTATCTCAAAAAAAAATATATATACACATACATATATATATAAATGATAGTCTTACAAAATTGTTTACAGTACTTATCAAAATTCATTTAAACTTTTGAAAGTCACAGTATTTAACAAACTCAGATGACAATTAATACATTTTGTGATGCTTTAAAAAGCCCAAAGAATTGAACAGCTATTGGTGCTAAATTATAATTGTGTTCTATAAAATAAATGTGATTCACTATTATTTATAACTTCTACCTCATGGTGTGTATAAGATAAAGAATTTGAATTTTACCTATTTTCTCACATACTAATTTGGTGACGTATCCTTTTAACTGTTGGTAAATGTGATAGGATCTCTTGGCCTGTTTTTATTGTTTTAACATCATCTGCAATTTTCTCACGTAAGATTGAAAACTGAATCTGTGAAATAAGTAGGTGTCTATCACTAATGAGATTTAAAATATGTCATAGCTAGATTACCTGTTTTGTAGGAACATCTGAAATCAGCCATGACAGAACAGATGGAAATGCCCCATTTATTGGAGCCAAGAAGGAAAATTTCTTACATAGTTTTACACATTTGACTGGTGATTGATTTTGTGAAAAGATATGTTAAAATTTGTTTTGTTTTTTGAGACAGAGTCTCACTGTGTTGCCCTGGCTGGAGTGCAGTGGCATGATATTGGCTCACTGCAATCTCCACCTCCTGGGCTGAAGCAATTCTCCTGTCTCAGCCTCCCGAGTAGCTGGGATTACAGGCTCAAGCCACCACACGCAGCTAATTTTTAGTATAGATGGCTATAAAATTAGCCATCTCTAATTTTAGTAGAGATGGGTCATGCCACCACGGACCCATCTGTACTAAACGTTGGCCAGGCTGATCTCAAACTACTGACCTCAAGTGATGCACCCGCCTCAGCCTCCCAAAGTGCTGGGATTATAGGCGTCAGCCATAGCACCCGGCCTGAAAAGATATGTTAAAAATTTGTATTTTAAAAAGGTGATACAAGACAATTTGACCAAATCTGTAATCTTTAAACTTTTTTTAAACCTATTCACTGTGATTAGCAAAAGAATTTTGTTATAACTCCTAGGCGATAACTGTGTAAGCAGAGAACACCCCCATTCTTTTCATCATTCTAGTAGAGACAGGATTATATGCTTCATTTGTTTAAAGTCCTTTTTTCAAACTCTCCTAGTCCTAACGTCAGAGGACACATTACCCTTTTTCATAAAAAAAAAAGTATAGTTTTACAAAACATCTATTCACAGCATCATTAACAAATTAGGCATTATACAGAAGTGAATTTTCAGGCAACTGAAGTGCTGCCTTAAACATAAAACTTTTTGTCTTAACCTATCTAAAGTGTATTCCCTGTATTTCTACCTTCTGAAGCAGAACAATAATAGCATTCATTTCTTGAGCATCCCCAGGTGTTAACTTGAGTAAATCTTTTGAGGAGGGCTTTGTTCCCTTCACACAGATGAGGGTCTAGCAACGTTGTGTGTTGAAGACCAGCATTCAGACCCCATCTTGTCTCCACTTACCATGGTGAAAGTCAAGTATTGCACTGGAAGTTAACGCAGCAATACACTTAGAGACCATAAGTTACCCCATGCTAAATTAGACTCAAACGAATGCATTTTCATGTTTTCATTTTTAAATGGCTTTTCTGTCAGGCATTATGTATGCCTCCCCTGTCTTGAGCTGGGGCTAGAAAATCAAGTGACTGAATTATGTTTAAAATAACTAAAATGAAATTAGTCTATTAATAAAGTGCTGAGTTTTTTATATTTAGCCTGCCAGAGCAAAAAAAAAAAAAAAAATTTCATTTTCTCATTGATTACCTGTTAGGATTTTTTGGATTTCTAGGTGAGCCATTACTCTGTTAACAGTGCTTTAAGACATAAAAGGGAAAAGGTTCAGACACTTGACTAAGCTGTAATTCTAATCAGCAGCAGTGTTAACACCAGTGTTTAGGCCTCAGAGTAACAAGAATGTGTCATCATACTGCCAAGTATTGTTCCTGTTACTACCCAATTCTCTAGTATCTCATGACAGTTTCTTAAAAATGTGTCCTTCTTGCTAACCACAGTGGCCGTGTTATCATCCTTAAAGGAAACACTTGGAAGTCACCAGCTTCTGGTCACTAGCTTCTTCAAGTCACTGTCATCTACCAATGAGATAGGGGCTACCAAGTAAAATGTAGCCAGGGCCACATTCACAGATGGAAGTGTTCAGTTAAGCAAAAGTAAAATTACATACCATCTTCATTCTGACGTTTGGAGATTGTTTATTCCTGCTTTATTGGCTGTAAAGTTCTGTGCATATATCAAACAGCATTTCAACAAGGTGGCTAATGTGTAGGAAGCTAGATTTTCTTTGTGATATAATTTGTCATGTAACATAAGGTATTTTACAAGTGTATTTCATTCGCTGTACGTTAAAATTCATATAAGATTTCATTTAAAGATTCGTCAAGACAACAATTCTAAAATCCTGTCATTTTTTTTTTTTTAAATCATTTTTCAGAACTTTGCAGTAACAGGAAGTAGAGCATCAGAAGGGGGTTAAAAAGTCGACTTCGGGAGAAAAAACATTTGGGCATTTTGCTTGCTAAGTTTACAAAATATACGCATCCAGCATTTAGGTATACAGTGCAGTGAAGAGAAAAGTGGAGATGCTCAAGGTTCTGGAGAAGGTCAAATGAAGGGTCCCTCACGTTGGCTGAGGCCAACCTGGCCTCAGAGAGGTGTGCAGAGGCACTAGGCAGGGGACAGGGCTTTGCAATGGTGAGGGTAAAACATGAACACAAGAAATACCCTAAGTCACTGTACATGGTTGTGCCTGGTGAGAGGTGGGACCAGCCCTTTTTTCATTTGGTGATTTGGCTGAGTAAGAAATCCTCTTGGTGCAAGACTGCTTCAATAAGAATCTGTTATAGATAGCAAATGTAAAGTTCACTGTCCTTTTTATTATCCCAACCTGGTAACATGACTAGAGGTAAAATAGTGAGTTAGATGATGGTTTAATATTTTAAAACTAGAGGGAAGACATACAAATAGATTGAGAGCAGTTTCTAAAGATAATCAGAATATATTTAGACTGCAGGAACAGTCAAAATTTTAAAATAAATGGTTTCCACATTTTTTATCCCCATCTTCCCCCCCTCCCGCCCCACTGTATGTTAAAACATTTTATCTGGCGACCACATTTTCCTACTTTTAATCACACACATCGTCAGAGCTTTTGATCAGCCTACCTAGTCTTCCTAGTCACTGAGTTGTGACAAAAGCCTGGTGTAGGCACCCTTACCATGGGTGTGTTTTTGCTAAGATCCCTGTAGACGGTGAACTATGAAGACAGCCCCCCGGCTCCGCTGGTCGCTGCCGCAGAGCTGCGTGTGAACTGCTCCTAGGAAGCCACGTCTCGGGGCGGGCGGCTCTCCGGCCGTGGATCCGTGTAAGGAGCGGCCGCATCCTGAGGCTCGGACTCGCCTCCGCTTTTCTGCCAGTGACGCCCTTGTTCTCTCGATCTGTTCAAGCCTCAGAATTTTTTTCTAGTTTCCTGTGTGTGCTTGAGATTCTTGGGTTAACGCGTGCTGCAGCTGAAAAATACAGCCCACATTTAGACAATGGGAAAGTCTTCTTAAAATAACTTCCGTATAAGTTACTCTAATCAAAGTGCTGCTGCCTGTGTGTTTATAAAAAACACGTGCGAATGCGAACCCGGCCCTGAGGGCGCCCGGGCCTGGAGGTCCTGGAGGTGGGGGCTAAAAACGGTGCCGCAGGCAGGGCCGCCCGTCCGCGATCTCCTCCCACCACTGCAGGAGCGCGGGGTCCTGGGGCAGCGCCCGGCCTAGAGGCCGCCCCAAGCTGCCGCCACCGCTCCGTGAGGGGCCGCTCGCTGCCGAGGTCCTGACCCAGACCCCAACCCGTCCAGCAGCGCCCAGACCCCCTTGGTGGGTGGCCCAGAGCGTCGCGGCCCGGGAAGGGGCGGGGCGGAGCGGGGGCGGCCGAGCTCTCGCGAGGTTTTGCCGGGGATCTGGCGGCTGTGGCTCGACGGCGGGTGCGGGATGCGCTCGGAAAAAGAGGGGGCCGGAGGCCCGAGGGCGGCCGTTGCCGCCCGAGGCCCGAGCGGGAGAGAGAAGCTAACGGCCGTAGAGGTGCAGTTCCACCGCGATTCGCCGCAGCGAGAGCCGGAGACGCCGCCAACGTCGTCCTCCGGCTGTGGGGGCGGTGCGGGCAAACCTCGCGAGGAGAAGAGGACGGCCCTGAGCAAGGTGGGGACG